AGAGTGCATTTCCACTAGCAAAACGGTCTCGCGATTGTTGCGGTATATAGACGAGCAATGCTTTAGACACTCATGCATAAAGGACAGGTAGTTAAAAACAAACGCAGTTGATCGGGGCGTAGAAAAGATTATGTGATTTTACAACACTTAGAATGGATAAGGGAGACGGACCGGGAGCTTGACCAAAGCGAGTTCGTCTAATCCTCACCGGAGTTTCGAAGATTCTTCAATCCATGGGTTTACACATACTAGGACGATGTCACATCCGATGAAAAAAGTTGGCATAAAAAGATGTTCAACGTGGTGGGAAAGAAAGGGGGATAAAATAGCTCCTTGTAAAACCCCGCAATTGACAGGGATTGCGGAAGACCTACTGCCACATCACGGTGTAAAGTGTGTGCATTACATTGCATTCAAAGAGGGGAACACCGTTTTCAAATAAAAGATCCAGTGGTAACGATCTGCGAAGGCACCCAAACCATCAGTGTAATCGAGGAACAGAAGCCGCACAGTCTTGCATTTGTTTCCCAAGCAGATGCAATGGTATGCACATAATAGGAAAAGGCATCCAGTGTAAAAACGCTCTAGTTTGTATTTCAACCGTTTGGTATCAGCTGTATGATCGCTTGTGAAAATGCGGTGAAATAGTTTGAACATTAAGGAGGTGGACACTATCGGCTGATATTTCTGTGGTTCATTTTTAAGTCCTGATTTTATTCTAGCTGCTTTTCAGATGTTGGGGATAGAACCAGTCGTTAAACATCGTCTGAAAGTTGTCAGACGTGACCGCAGTGTATCCGCACTCTTTCAGAGCGGTTGATAATAAGGCATAAGGGCCATTAACCCCGTTTGGTTTCAGTCATGTGAGTTCCCTGTGATCAAATAAGGTGGGAGGATCAGAAATGGCGAAGGAAAGTAGGGGAAATATGTTCGATGATGAGGAGTTAAAGTTTGCGTTGAGCTTCTCCGCATTCAACGCACGGAGCGAGCTAGTGGAATTTTTGCCGTGAGTTGCTTCAAGAGCCTCTACAGGCCACTTCAACTGTGGTTTCTTAAAACGGCTTTAATCTATAGGCTGTTTAAACTTATCTCGGCTTATATAGCCACAGACAGACATTTAACACAAGGAGTTAGTTAGGGATTTTTAATCTAATCAAATGAGAGTTCGTACCACCAACTTCAAATCAGATAGTGTTCTACATGCACTAGATTTCAGTAGTAACCAGTTGGGCATCATCAGTAGTGCGTAGCCATCGAATCCTTGAGGATTCGAACCCATGACCACCGGCGACTTGCACCGCCAGTCAGCAGCTTGCTACTGGGCCACGGTGGACAGTGTCGGACCGTCATGATTTACTAGGTTACTGCCATGCAAGTTGCAGAGGATTGAATTAGACACGATACGATGTCCAGACAATTACTGTGTTCGACATAGCATTTGAAAGCAGTTAGGGCGGATATTTTGAGGTACTCAGGAGTAACGAATTCCAATGTAATCAACAGTTAGTCGCAACAGCTTCCAAATCAGCTAGCCCTCCATATACTCGGAGAAGCACTAGACTGCAGTTTTAAGCAACGTTGCGAGCCGCTGGTAGTCGTGGGTTCGAATCCTGATTGGTCCGATGGATGCGGGCTACTGTTGAGACCCAAAAGGTTGAAACTGCAGTTTGGTGCTTTTCCGGGCATGTAAAGAACTATCTAGTTTGGAGGCTGCTGCGACGAAGTCTCAATTACTTATATTTATGAGCTCGTTCTTTTTTCTACACAGTTGCTTGAGTAGTGGAGATGAAAATCTATCAATCTTAAGATAGATGGTCTAAATGGGGCAAAAAGATTGAAACAGAAAATAATATATTCTGTGAGGTGCTCGCATTAAGCTGACAAATCCTCACCAATGAAAACTGAGAAGTCGGTTGTATAGAGCATCAATTTTAGCTTTGAAATGTTTTCCGTTCAACAGTTCCGCCGTTTAACAGTTGTGAGTGACCTTATCATCGCAACGTAGTTGGTCTTACAGAAAGTCTTGGGGAGTAACTTTACGATGTAGTGGAAAACAGGTTGTGTTTGTCAGTAAAAACTAAACTGAAATGTGTGTCGAGCCTGGCTAGACCCAGCATTTTAGTGTAAACTGTGTCACTCTTACTGAAGTCACCAGCGATGGCGCAGAATATTCTAACTTGGTTACCATTACGAGACACCGTGATGCGCAAACTTTTTTAGTCTCGGACAGTGCTGCGTCAGGCGCCACATAGACGTTCCCAACTACCACATATAGAAAACTATGAAGTAACTTTGTTTTACATTTCAACAGTGGTAGCTTATGAGATCCGCTGACAGCGATGTACACCAGTCTTTACTAATGTATGTGATCAGACCTCCGCGGTTCTAGGGTTTTCCTTGGCGGTCGGACCCAATGTGTCGATAGCCACTTCGTTTCAAGACTCTACTTTCAATGTCAAGATGTAACCAAGATTCTTGTTACAAGCATTCGAGAATCCTTTTCGTTGTAAAAGGCTCTCGAGATTAACAATTACCCCGAGAAGTGATGGGACACTACTGGACGAACAGAATTTGTGTATTGTTAGCAAAACAGTGTCTGAGTTCGTTTCCAGGCAGCATGATGCTTTTTTCCCAAAATTTTACCGATAATTCTTTTGAAAGCGTCTCTGATTTTGTGACTATATGTGACTAAAGGTGAATTTCAGACTTCACGGAACCGAATCAAACGATCAACAGAGCAAGTCAACACCACTGACCTTAAAATTGGTTCATTTATATAGATGATACACGAATTTGCAGTGAGCAGCGCAGAACAATATACCAAAAGTAACAGCGACGGCCGAAGTTAAGGCCCCGCCAGAAGTAGTAACGCTATATTACTAGTCTCGCAAGATGAGCGACGCGTCGAAGCGCCAGCGCCGGATAAGAAACATGCCGTTAATGTTGCCGGACGACAGAGCCATGCCTCTGTCCGATAGTACAGGACTGGTAGCAGTCAACGTTATACGCAGCGCTTTGAGAAAATCAATTGACCAACAGCTGTTCAAGACGACTTATGCTAAGAAAAGTCACACAATCATTCTCGTTGTGCACGGTAGCCTCTTCGGTGACTTGGGCACGGAGGAGATTCAGCGACATAGATAAGCAAACCGACTAACTATTCCTAACGGTTGTCTGGTGGTGAGAAATCGAAGTGTGTGAACCTACTGTTGCAGCAGTACCTCGCACACTAGAAGTGCGTCACAGGTACCAGAGTGCGCAGGAAGTTGTGTCCACCTACCCAAACTAATTACACAGTAGACGGATTCCGCCTCATGAACGCAACTACGTCCGCATACCCAACGTTCACTCCGCATGAGGAGATTGAGATTTTCCCCAGAATTCCCCGCGGCGTAAACGGTCCGATGCAAACTGTTTCATGAAGCAACGCCTCCGATATCCGACATACTGGATACTCGTCCTCAGCTATTCATGTGGTTGTTAGTGCAGGATTTTTCTTTCAATTCGCATAATAAAATTGGAATATTGGCGTCCCATAAAGCCCCACGCATGCCCGCCTAATTTAATGCAACCACTCAGTAAAAACCCGCCTGCTTAAAAGAAAAGATTCCCCTTTCAATCCATAGCTTGATGAGTTAACGAGTGGTCGGGGCAACACCTCCGCTAATAATTATGCAAAAACAGCAGGCAGCACGTTCGTTGCCAAGGTGAGACGGTGCATTAACATCCGGAGGCTATTGGCGCGCGCTCTCACACCAATAAACACCCGCTGTGCAGCGTATCCAATCGAAAAAAACACGCTGGAATTGGGAAAAACAATCAACCGACACGAGAGTACTTGTCACAGCGGATACCTTGGCAACGGCTGTTGTTCAGCGAATCATCACTGAGGCTCCCTGGTCAGATCACGTGAAGGTCTGAAACATTCACGGGGGTCATGATCAAGAAGTAAAGCAGGACAAAAATCCATACGAGCGCCTGCTCTACAAAAATAGAAACAACCCACATGCGTCCTAAGTGACCATGTGGTGAAAACCACCATGCAAATGTGAAGCAGAAAACCAAGCTCTGTACAACCGAAATGCTTGAAGAAAGATAACCCATATCAATTTGTTAGTATAATAAAACAAATGGATACCACCTTGATTTAAACAACCAACTTTGTTCGGTAGATAAGGATGATCAAAGACGAAGGCGCCTCAGATCCTTAGACCGAAGGGGTCAAGTCTCACTCCCATAGACCGAGGGAAACCTCGTTCTGATGCCACAGATTTAAGAACACGATTTCTAACTTTTATAAAACGTGAACTGACTTCAGTGCATTTGCACTCATGGTTGCCGATACAGCTGCCAAGCTAAGTGAATTAGTTTACTAACTCGCGCTCCTCGCCATAAAGAGTCAAGTAATCAGTAAGTGACTGATGGTTCTGTAACAGTAGTTTGGGCTTCGAAAGTGTGAAGCGAGTGCCAAAAGATGGGATCACACTAGAGAGGTTATAACGCGGAGCAGTGAAAGCCACAAGGAAGCTGTATCGCCGATGTTGCCCTAAATGTACACGATAGCTAGCTGTTTGTGACCGTCTGTTGTGCTGACTTGGTCCTGAATGCTCGGTTAAGTTCACGTTAGACCCCCTTCTCTCCTGCCTGATATTGTTCATCCTTTAGATTACTGTGGTTGTGTGGCAGCGAAGCATCAGTTCAGATAACTGATACACTGCTGTCGATGATGATGATGATCGTTCCGCTAGTGAGTGCTCAAGTGAGCTTGTGAGTCAAGTTCACAGGGATGACGCACCGAAAGCGATGTGAGGAAAATAGGAGTGTATGATAGTATGGTGTATTTGGTCAATGTTAGCAACAAGGTACTGGCTTCATGAAACGTTTATGAATTCAGCTTGTGTTTGTGGAACACGAAGCGAAGCAAAGAGTAATGCACCATGTGAACGTTAGACCGTTTTGAGCACTCACGGTGTTAATGGTGCTAGGACGAGGTATGTACAAAAAGCCACGTAGAGGGGGAGCGTGATGACACAGAGGTCAGCGAAGTTGAACACCGAAACGTTCCACGACATCCAGTGCAATACGCTCGTGGATAGGTCGCACCTCCTCCATTGTCAGTGTGCGATGCTGAGCCCGATACACCAGCCGATAACAGTGGCTGTGACGTCCGGTCTTCGCATCTGTGAAGCGATCGATCAGGTGAACCTGGAATGAAACAAAACCGGTAGATAAGATCACAAACGCAGAAGTGTGCAAAAGTCTTGCTAAACGATCTGAACTCACCTGTTCGATAAGATCACCGGCAACGTTACGCACAAGATCGTAGAAATCCCGTTCGACGGTCTTCGAGGCGACATCCTGAGCATCGAGTTGCCCTTCACCCAACCAGAAGGAAAGATCGAGGATACATTGTGGATACACACTGATGGGCTATAAGGTGAATAGCGAACGGAGGATGAAGAACAGCGAAATCCGATGGGACATATGCTCTGCGGATAAATTGCTCAACCGCATTATATAGGGAAAAACCGGAAGCAGACTGAAAAATACAGGTCAGTCGTGTGTGTTCATATGTGTCAAGCTGCTTCACAAGAAACGCTTAGTGGCATCGGCAGAACGAAGGAGCAGAAAGCAGTAATAAGAAATACAGACAACATATAAACGGGAAGCTTCTAAACAGAGAGTAAGAATGAACTAAGCATTCTGCAACCAAGGGTGATCTACCTGAAAGATGTGCAAAGGAGGCGACACGATAAAAACAAGTTTGTCTAAAGAAACATTAAAAAGCTGCGAGATAAAATTACACGAATTGCAACTAATACCACGAGTTGATCGGAAAGCGCTCATTTACTATGACTAACATGACAAAGACCCCCCAGTGGGGACAAGAGCGGAATATCAGCTCAATGTAAGCGGGACCTAGCGTACACCTAAACGTCCTAGACAAAAATTCAGGGTAAAGTACCCTACATCTTGTAAACAATGCTTCCTGAGTTTTGGCGGAGAACGATAAACTGATACTTGTGTAGCTACTAGTAACAGATTGCGAAAAACGATGAATATTCACTGCACCGGGATCTTATGTATTCTGCAGATAGGCCATTGTGGAATATACAAATAGCTGGCGACATACGATTCCGAGTTTGTCTGTCCCTGTGGCTTCCATGGGGACAGCCACAGGACGTCTGAGCCTGCAGATGGACGATCGGTAGCTTGCGTTGCACCACCCACAGCTCCAACCATACACCCCATATGCAGTGTAAACCCGAAGGAATAAGACCGGGATGCATATGGATGGGAGCCAGGTTTCATCAACGGAGCCCACCCCCACTCCTTCAACAGTCAGAGCACAAACATTAATTCATGCGTAGAAGGCGTACACAAGCTGGTGGATTGGCCGTAGCCCGTTCCAGACTGGATGTATGGAACCAATCTTTAAGCCTAGCACGGTTACGAAGACCGTGCACCCGGTCCATCACAACAAGGTCTTACAATATACCAGTCAGTATATAACGGAGTGGAGGGATTTAGCTAGGTAGGCGCCTTGTCAACATTCAGATCAAGCGTAGTCGCACCAGGAATATCAATCAACAGACAACACCGGAAATTCAAGAAACCCAACACTCGGTGCAACTAAAGTGATGTAGCATACGTGCTACACCGGCCGCACTATTGGCCTGGATTGGCAGCGTATGTACCAAGTGCTGTGCCGATAATGATCACATATTCATCCGACTCCTCGTTTCTTTGATATTAAATCTGCGTGGCGATGCTGATGGTGTACCAAGCCCGCTTGGCTCAGCCACTTGTGACCGCAAGTGTCACAGCATCATGCGTTCCATGTCGATGGGCTATAGAATCCATCGGCGCCTGGCGCTTTTGTTACATATGCAGCAGTGATTTCTCATGCACCTTGGCAACCGCCCTCTCGATAAGTTTAGGCTATTAGCACCAATCAATTGCGTTTAATTCCCAAAGCCTAAAATCAAAATAGGTTCGTGAAAACTTAAACTTGAAGGTGGCTTGCTCGTTTCTAAGCCACACTTACACACAACCAAATGGAGTGTTGAAGTGCGTATGAAACCTTTCGAGGAACCACCCAGCATGGAAACAAGTCCCAAGGAAACAGTCCCACAGATGATCGTATTACTTTGCTTGATCTTTTCACATTAGTTCCCTTTTTGTCTTGAAGCTGTTGGACTCTTGCTACTGGACACTTCAACTATACTTTCTTATTGGCCCATCATCAACAACCATTGATTTATTTTGCAGACTACGCCCTGATTTTACTGCAGTGTTTTTCTGTCCTTCTCATCTCTATGCCAAAAGTAGGTTAACCATCTGTATGCTTTCCTAATCACCTTGTGTTCGATATTTTGTACATGATCGTACTTTGTTGAACATGCCTTGATGAGCGTGTGTAGCATTTCACAGAACAAACGTTTAACGATTTGTTTATCAACTCTTCCCATCATAACATCGCCATTTACGTTACAAAGCCGAGGGAGCCATAAATCGCCACCCACAAATGAAGGCCGAATGGAAAGCAACTGTGCTCACTTGGTCTCACAACAATTCCGTAACACACACAATACACCTTGTTAGATCGGGTCAATTCAATATCTAGATGAAGGAATTTCCAGACAATTCACACTGCATTAATTCGCCCCTATGTGTTTGCTACCTTACATTACTCGGTTAAAAAAGCTGAAGCTTTGAAGATTCATATGCAACTACATTGATGTATGAATCTTAGCTCTCTCTCCTTTCGCATATGAGCAGAACTATACCAAGTACAGATGACTTGTATTACTCTTTAAGCTATTATGTACGACTATGTGCTACTCGGCTGGTTTTGGTTGATGGCTCCAACCACTTTATCCCCTTTTCACATTTTTTCGCCTTCTATGAGCCTGCTGCCTCCATGGTATCCTCGAGCTGCACCAGAATCAAAAAGTGGCAATGCCCGTGTTCTGATAGTAGAGGACAGTGAAAATGCACCTATTGCATCACTGCATGACCCCCAACCACTGACAACCCAGCATGCGTGAGCATATTGCACATGTAAATACGATCCGTCCCTTTATGGGCACGGTTTCACGGTAGTAAGAGAAATATACATTATTATTATTACTATTATTATTATGTCCAGATAGCGCAACGTCGATTTTCCCACGTGTCGCCTCCTTTCAACAAGTTGTCCGTATAGTAGCTGCTTAGGTAACTGCGTCAAATCCATGCAGCTGACATGCTCGATCCACCTCAGATACCGCCGCAGAAGTACGCAGTCCACTGAATGCGTGCCACTTCGGCGCAGCATTTTTGTATATGAAACGCCTTCACTCCAGCCAATGCACAGAATCCGACGCAAGCACGGTTGATGGAACCGCTCCAAATAACGCACGTGCTTCCGATAAAACGTCCACATTTCGCTGCTGTTTAGAAAAACGGACAGCACCATCGACCGGTATACATCCAGCTTCATCCTAAACCGTAAGCTAGTGATTCCTCCACACACGGTATTCCAGCCTATAAAATGCAGCAGACGCCTTCGATACGCGGATGCGCAACTCGCTCGTCATCTGCAGGTCGGTCGAAAGTACACTACCCAGGTAGCAAAAGCCGGAGGTGGTTTCCAAAACATCAGTATTAATATGGATTAGGAGCAGACAATTGAACTCCACTCCTGGTGAAAGCTAAAAAAACAAGCAGTCTTGCTTGTGTTGATAGTGAGCTTCAATTTGGACGCTGTCGAAACCATAGCATTAGTCAGGTGCTGCAACTCATCCGCGCTGTGTGCAACCAACGTACAGTCGTCAGCAAACAGTAAAACAGGAATGGTTGTCTCGTGCATCAGGGTTCTCGCCTTGAAAAAAGGATGCTAAATAAACCACCATCAACACGGTGTTCCACATGAACACCGTAATCCCGAGCAGTATGAAAAGTCCAAGACATCATTGCATGGAGGTAAATATTAAACAGGACAGGAGCTAAGACACAACATTACTTCACCCCAGAGACAACTGCAAAGTCATCCGAAGTCTGTCCACTCAACTGCACCCTCGCCTCCATACCACTGTGCAGACATTCAATTAAACTTACAAACGTACTCGGACAACCAAACTTACTCAACATCAGCCAAAATGCCTCGCGGTTCACTGTATCGAATGCTTTGGCGAAATCAACAAACAACGAGTACAACGGCTGGTGTCGCTCTTGGCATTTCTCCTGAAAATGATGAGCAGCAAACACCATAGCTATGATGCTGCGGTCCGAACGGAATCCACATTGGTTTTCCGCCACGTTTGGTTCAAGGAAATGAGTGACTAAACGGTTGAGCAGGATACGGGAAGTCACTTTGCTCACACAACTCAGCAAGTTGATGCCACGATAAATCGTGGCACATTGCTTGCTCTCTTTGCCCTTGTACAGGGGTAACACAAGGATTTCCTTCAAGTCAACTGGCACCTCTTCTTCAAATCACACGCGTTGCACCAAGTGGTGAAGTGTATGTATCACAGCGGGTCCACCGTGTTTCACCACTTCTGGCGTTATCCCGTCGGCTCCGGTGCACTTGCCGTTTCGCAGTTGAGAAAGTGCTCTCTGCGTCTCAACCAGTGTCGACAAGACACCACCTTTTGTTGTTGCAGCCCGTGCAACATATCCCAGTCAATCTCTGAATAGTTGTCCAAAAGACAGTCAAAGTGTGTTCGTCGGATTTGCATTATGTCTGTAGCCTGACTGAAAGCAGCGCCTGAAGCACCACCCAGCAGCGTCCTCAGCGGCTGCAACGTGGGGCCAAAGACCGTTTTCAAGGAATAACGGAATTCCTTGTGTTGGCGACGTTCGACATAGCATACCATCTGCTTCGCCTTCTCCGTCTACCATGCATTCTTGATGTGACGGAGCACTCAAGTCAATCGCCGTCGAAGTTTGCAAAAATGAAGCTTCTTCTCTGCATCGACAGGGTCATGGACATGCGCAGCGACTGCTACATTCTCCTCCGACACCAAACCGCCAATGATAGCACTGTTGTCAGCGATCCAACCGGGCCGCGTAGTATGCGTGACCGATTGTTTGCTCGGAAGCAGCCGTCACCTGTTCACGAATGTGATTCCACAGGTCACTCACGCGTGTTAGGGCCTTCAAATTTGCCTGTTGCTGCTCTCGCTGGTATGTGATGTTGTACTACCGATTGTGGATGTTATGTGTTATTAGAACAAGTCTCAAGGTCAATCATGTTCTAGTTCGTCAACCTTTCGAAAACGTTAAGCCTTACTGCCTCAAAGCTGTGCTTCATTGAATATGGTCATAAAGTCAGGAACACCTACAAAGGAAGTTTGAGGAAACGGCTTGGAAAAAAGCGAAAGCGTTGTGCTGGTTGGCAATCTGGCTTCAATCATTGTTATGTCGATAAAGCGCAAGTCCCA